CGATAATATACTCGTAAAAATAAATAAGTATTTAAATAAAACACGTTAACAGTTTATAACACGATATTTGTCAATTAAACTTATTTAAAAATTATTCGGTTCGGTTGCTTTACAGCAGCCATGGTGATAGGGAGCCTCGGGTCGTTGTTAAAATAATTTCCAAATAAGTATACTTCGTGTTTAAAACCGTTTACGTATCGTTACGTAAAGACAGTATCTAAATGTGTATGTCAATATTATCTAATAAGGTAATATTGTATGCAGCGTGTACAGATTATTCAATAATGCACTTAATTAAGCTTATAAGTAGCAGATGCAATGATTGAGTACATATTGATGGAACTGAGCGTGTTAATGACAATTGACAAGTGTATGTAATTATCTGAAACCGAGCTGAACGATGATGCCACTTAACAATTAATGATAACGTCATAAAACTGACTTTGTATTTATAATTGTTTGAAAACATGACGGCGTTGAAATTAATACTTATATTAATAATACTAAAATTAATAAATAATACCACACGTGTGGTAAGTTTTTAAAGTTGGTTATAATTTATAATTGTAGATATCGGGGAATCTGAATTTTATTAACTATGAAAAGTCCTGACAAGAGGAACTTAATGTACGGTTCTGTACCCAAAGGTACAGAACCGTACAAACGGGCAAGTTGTAAACATAACCTTCTTAAACATTTATAACTCATTTCATAGCTACAATAGCGAGTATAAAATAAAATTTCAATTACATAAAAGCAACTGTAAACATAAAACTAAATGAACTGCGCTAATGAATGTGAATTTAATTCTATTCAGGATTCATAATTTTAAATTTTACTGAAGATAAACTTTGCCTCTTTCATTCGGACTTGTTTCGAGTTTTCGATGAGAAATATAGACGTCTAATAGCCTAGATAGGCCCTCCCAAAGAAAATATTTTAATCAAATAGATAGCTGTTCCATATTGAAAGTTTATTAATAAGTTTAAATGAACAGAACGAAAGATTAGTTTTATTTTCATTTAGGGCTGTAGTCTATATTCCATAGACCTATAATTATCTTATAAAAGCCGCGACTTTCGTAACGCGTTACGCCGCGTCAAAAACTTAGCACTGTTTGGTATTTGACCAATCATGTTCGCCTAAACTAACCTCAATGGTTGTTCCTTTCAAGAATTTGTTGAATTTTTCTGGACTGATCTGAATTGAACTAACGATTTATTGATTAGTGATATATAAAAAAGTATAAAATAAAATGGAAAAGTATAAAATAAAGTGCTTAATATGAAGATATATGAAATACATAGAGACTCGACTATATAGTCCTACTCAGTAGGTAATTATACGTCGTTTAACACGGTAAGTTTAAGCTGTTAATGGATGAATCATGTAACGAACCTCTGTGTGTGGTTTTACTTTGTTCTCTATATACGCTGAAATACAAGACTAGTCACTGTCATTGTACATTTGTAGTCCTTTGTCATATTTTCTATTAGGAGACTTTTATAAAGTTAACCCTTAACACTATTGACTCACCTATTTTTTTATCTGAACCTAAACTACATTGTTCCGCTGGCTCCACTCCCAGGTTCACAACCAAAAAACTTTACGCTTTTCTCTATCGCACCAAATACCGTATTCAGTCCTTCTTCTCTAGAACTGCGACACTTTTTAACTCCATGACCTCTAGTGACCTTGATATCTTTATTTAAAAGAAAAACGCTTGTAAACGTATCTTTCAGAACTCTTTTTGACGATTCTGGTTGAACCTTGCACCCACTAGTACGTTTTGAATGTTAAATGCTGTATTGTATCATTTTTTTATATAACTTCTAACTTTTAGTGTAAATAGATATAAGTAAATCGCGCTAATATCACGAACTAATTTTGGTACTTGACAATACAGTTTTATGCTATAAAACGCTAGGTTGCGATGAATATGAGCGAAGAAAATGATGAAAATTAATCATTTCTGGAGGATTCCGAGGCGTACGCGGCGAAAACGGTTCAGGATATGGAAATAATATATTAGATAGGATTAATTTTTTTAATGTCCGCGACAGTCTATCTTTTAAGATTAACTTCAAAGAATCGATTTTTGTCGAAAAAGTTTATATGACAAAAGAACATTTGTCAATGCAGCAATTGTAAAAATCACATCACATTGTATTTGTTATCCTATATACATATATTTATTCTGTGCAATTACTACGGAACACTTAACTCCGTTTTTAGTGATATTTGTGTCGCAACTAGACTATTTCAAACTACAACTAAACACTTAGCATATGAATAACATAACAATTTCTCAATTTTAACATTAGTTTAATAGCTTTTTCATTAGACAGAATTAAAAAAAAACCCTTTTAACTTCATTTCACAACACTAGTGAACCGCCCTACATTAATACCGCCCTAAAATACTTAAAGTATACATTCAAGTGTTTCATTATGGCATTGTAGGGCAATTAGTTAAAAAATTAAAAGCTTTATTTTCATTCTCTGTTTAAAATAGAAAGTTCTCGAAGCGTTGAGCCTAGTTCCTTTGTCCTGCTCCTTTTACGATATCCATTCTTATAGTCAATCTGGGCCACTCACTTAAAGCCTGACTCATTTACGAACTAATTAGTCTCTGTAGCATGAATTGAAAAGTGTTCAATTATTGAAACTGTTGTAATTTAATAATTTTAAAAATCTTTCTGTTGTATAATTTTTTTAACAGTTACTATAAACGCTACGTTAGTGGGTTAGTTTTAAAAATTAATTTTATGTTATTGTTATTAAATACTGTTTGTAGTTTATACGAGTAGTACACATTTAAATAAAACACTTTAACTGTTTAAAACGCGATATATAGTAGTTAAACGTTTGAAATTATTTTCACTATGGCCTACTCCGACGTTTCGGATGCTTCGTCTGGAGCACCAGGGGGTTAGTGTTATTGTTAGTCTTCAAATTGTATCCCCTTCCTGGGCTCTAAAGATCGTCCCTGCTCCTTCCATCTTGTGCGGTCGGCTGTTTTGTACAGCAAGCCGTTGGCCGAATTTTGTACTAAGTCATCAGATTATCCTCTCTCTCCATATCATGTGCGTTGGTCCCTACCACGACGTAGTCTTGAGTATTCAACGTTTGTTGTTACTGTTATCAAAACATAATAAGGTGACTGATTGATGAAAGGCAATATTATATGTCATCCGTGATATATGTTAGTACACTTTAAATTAAATGAATAAATGCTTTGAAACTTGATTTATATTTAAGTAAATATTATTCACGAGTAGGTTTACTGGTGGACAACCAAAGAAATATAACTTGTTTTAATCATTTAAATAAAACACTTTAACGGTTTAAAACGCGATATTAGATAATATTAGTTAAACGTATTTGAAAAATGATTTTTAACTTCGGCCCGACGGTTCGGATGCTTTGCAGCAGCCGTGGTCACGGGGAGATAGAAATGTGTACTACTCGCGTAAACTATAGACAGTATGTTTTAATCAGTTTAATATTACTAATGTTAAAAATCGTAATTAATGTATATGCTTAAAATACGTGATCGTGTAATTTTCTTACCCCTTATTAAATATTACCCCAAGGGTAAATAATGGGAAGAGCTAATGTTAAAAGAATCCTTACGTCACTTTTTAAAAGTCGTCAAGTACCACACTTACACACCTGCGAACTCCTGCCACGTTCACATACAAAGTTTGGAAGCCTCGCGTTATCAATCACTTGGTAGAGTGAATCCGCGAAAAATTGCGTACGTTTGAATAACCAGGGCAGCGATAAAGTGATTTGACGTGAATCAGCTCTCGACAGTGAAATATGGAAATACGTAAACTGTCTATTTCAATTCCACGAAAACATATTTAAATGAAATTCTCTTTAGTAGAGAGATTCCCTCTTCCATTTTCATTAGTTACGTATTATATGGACTTACTAAGTAACGCAAGAAGTACTGGGATCTAATCTCAAAGATAACTTTGATCTAATGGTAGCAATGTATGTCTAACGATCAATAGGTCGGAGGTTCGATCCCCACTAATTTTTAGTTATTAGTTTCAAATTTTTCATTTTATAATTTCCCTGACACATGCTGGACTTCGTCTGGAAACCTGGATACTAAATGGGTTTTAGGAATATAGCAATTCCGTCCGGGTCACGAACCACCGTCCACAGATGAAAAGGGCGTGAAGCTTAATCGGTGTTCGGTTTCAGTCTGTGGATCATCAAGTGAGCCCCAAGTCATGTCTGACCTCCTCGATCATTAAAAAAAAAGCATTTTTTTATTTTGCAGCATATTCGAAAATAACACCAATATGTAAAACACACTTAGAAATGCCATCAGCGATAGCCAGCGCATACCACATTTAATCAGTGTTGCTATTTCATTGGATTAAAAAGGGCGAAATAACAACCAGATTAAAATAATGGAATGAATGCTGCCATCTATCAGCGTATTACACAAGAAATACACAACCCATATTATTGTTTTGGACAACAGAACAGCCTACAGCTGGTTTATCTGTAAACAACGTTTTTGAAATATGTATACTTTCATGCGTTGTAATAAATTATCACTTTTATCTATCGAGAATGGAAATGTGTAGGTTGAAGTTTATACCGTGATGGCCTTTTTTAATTAAAATTATGAGATCATCCGTAAAGTTGATTTATTTATTGAATTACTTTATAAGATACCAAATAAAAAATCACTGACATGTATATTCTTTCACAAATCTGTTATCAACAAGAGCACAGTTACACAAATAACTATTTAAAATTACAAAATACCTTCAAATACTTAGTCAGTTTCTCAGTATTGATTTAAAATTGTTTGTTCTAAACAAATATGTAGCACGAATGATGTCACATCCTTTTAGTTCAGAAAACTATATGGTCCTTATATTAACGTATCAGAAAAAAATAGTTCTAGTAAATGACAAATTTGTTATATAAGTATACAGGTGTTTTCATTGTTGTCATTTTTTATCTTTTCAGGTGGAGTACATAACGTGAACATGGCTACGTGGAGACTACTTCTTGTATGTGCAGTGCTGGTGCATGTCGAGTGTAAACAAATACACTACAAACGTGAAACAAAAGCTCACCTTTGCGATTCAGTTTACAATAATACGAATAAAATACAATGTTATTGCATACGAGACTCTCGTGAGGAGAACTTAGTACGAAGCGCTGATTGCTATCCCACTGTCAATGGTATAACAGCAGATGATCCTAATTGGAATATTTTCAACGAATTGGAAAACGTACATAAACTGACATTCACAAACACGCGAGGGATCGTTTTAAAATACATACCGACGCAAGCTTTAAAATTAACCAAATCCGTTCTAAAGCTCGAAATCAAATACGCCAGCATTGATAGTATCGAATCGTATAGTTTTGCGAATTTGTCATTTGTCGAAGAAATAACAGTGCGGGATAATCAAATTAATATTTTGAGAAGTAACGCCTTTGCACACCATCGAGATTTGGTAACTATCGGTCTGGATACAAATAATATTGTGGAAATAAACAGAAACGTATTCGTAGACCTACCAGCATTAGAAAAGCTCTATTTAACTAGCAATAAAATAACTACAATACACGATAAGGCGTTCATGCATTTGTCTAACTTAAGAGAACTAGAAATCGATAGAAATAATTTGTTTAGTCTGAACAGTGAAACCTTTTCGGGGCTCAAAAAGTTAGAAAAGCTAGATCTTAGTAGCAACAGCTTAGAAGTGATTGGGGACAATACATTTTTGCCATTAAAAAACCTTCAGTCATTGAGTTTGGACGGAAATAAAATACAAATGCTTGACGAAAAAGCTTTCCATGGTCTTGTAAGTCTACAGTCCCTATCGCTCGCCCATAATTCTTTAAAAGAAATTAAAAATCTAAAGATGTTTATCGGGTTGAAGTCGTTAAAAGTCATAAGTTTGAAAGGAAATCAACTGCGAAGCCTTGAACCTGAAGTAATGGCCCCTATTCTTGAGAACCTTTTTGACAATATTAGCAGTTTGGATGTAGAAGGTAAAAAATAAAATTTTTTTCGTAATTAACGCAAAGTAACCTATTAGCAAAGTAATTGTTTCTGGTACAATATAAACTTATAAATCAAATTAAGTTACTGTTATTTTACAATATAATTATAACGCTTCTTATTTTTTTTTCAGACAACACTTTTCCTTGCGACTGCCGACTGGACTGGTTCTTATCACTAATGAATAACACACGAAGTTCTCACTTAAAGCTGGCAATTGAGAACCTAAAATGTATGCCAAGTCAAGAGATCAGAGAGAAATGGGCCATGACTGTTGAGGCTGAGAAAAATTCGCAAGAAGCTGACGAAAACGGTCAAGCAAACGATTACGAATACTATGACGATACGCAACTTAACGGCAAATTGTTTTACATCGATATGCGTTTCCTGCTTAACTGTTTGAAGAACTATGATAGCCTTCTTAAGCCTGACCTGACGTCAACAACGAATATGTCCAAAAAAGAAGTAACAACTACGACAATTACAACTCCTTCTTCTACAACGCATTTACCAATTAAGGACTTGACTACCCTTAAAGATCCACTTCTATCAGAAAGACCAGCTAAGCCTATAAATATAAGAAGTGATAATAAGAAGCCAAGTGTTTATACGACCAGCCGTTTATCAACTGTGTCAGCCAAGCCGATGGCTAATGAATATTACGATGATCACATGGCAGCTGATGAAGGGAAACCAGACAGGATTAAAGCACACAGGAGTATTCAAGATAATACTGAACAGAAGGGACCCTTCAACTTTGCTTATAGAACGTCGGGCTGTGTTTTATTAGTTGCTATAGTGTTTAGTGTTACCTGTTTACTATACTGAAATAGATTAAGTAATTTATAATATGCTATTGTTATAGTCAGTCAGCAGAGTCCTATCTGATAGTAAACTTTTTAATATAGGTTTGTAATTCTTAAAAAATAATAACAGGAGGCAAATCTCAATAAAGAAATAAAATTCACAACTGTATTTAAAAAAATATCTAACCTTACTTAGTTGAAAATCTCTTCCTTATAGTGTTGATGGTTAAATCCTGTGTTTTAATATAATATAATCATTATTTATTATATTTTATTCGATCTTAAGAAAGAGACTTAGCTGACAATCTAATTTAAAATATTCCTATAAGAATCACTAGAGGTAATAAACGATAATACCGTAGTAATTTCTGATGTTTCTTATTACTAGAAATCTACAAAAATAATTAACTTCTCAAATATATTTTTTTTACCTTTGCCAATAATAACATTGAAACAAGCTAAAGTTTGAATGGAGAATTTGAGTAAGACCACTATTTAATTAAAACAAACTATACTGCTCGTAAGAATATTAATCCATTATTAGATATCTCTAAAAATGCCTAGGCCCTAAAAGTACTATAGACGAGCTAAATAGAAAACACAAGTATCTATATGTCTAGCAGTTAAAAGTAAAAACCACTGTTGTTCGTTTTTTTTACAAATGTGTAAAGATAGCAAAGATATTAAAAAGACCTTTTTAATGTTGAAGCTCATTATTGCTTAAAGCGCCATCTAGTAGATTGTATAGACATCCCAAAGTTGCTGTAGAACGGTTTCTGTTTTCAATATTATTTTATTTTTAAAATAGTTCGCACTTGTACGGACGTTGTCTCCAAGATGGCGTTGTTTACAACAATAATGATTAGTGTGGCTGATTTTCACATTAAAAGAAAAATGTTTTTGAAACGTAGTTCTAATATTATTAACCTAGTGAAATGAATTATTTTGGCCTTATAAGTAACTTGATTACAAAAACACGTTGTTATCAAAATAAATAGTAATCCTTTGTTACTTACATACCAAAAAAAGCTTTAAACCATTAACTATTTCGACCTATGGTAATAGCATTAGTGCTCAAGGAACAAGAGAAAAATTTACCCAATAGGTACTTATTGTTTGACGTATGCTATGTATTTTGGGAGTTACAAAAAAGTTAACGTAGTACGCAAATAATTGAACAAATTGTTATGTACAAAGATTAAATTTATGTAATCTACGAAAAGCGTGTTTCAATAACTCTCAAATTTCCGAGGTCACGTTTAGGTTAATAAGAAAACATTTCTACTTTCCACCACACAACACTGTAAATCAGAGCATTTCTGAGACAATTTTATGTATTTACCAAATAATATATTTAGGTTTTCGCGAAAATAGCGTGTCGCAAGGACAATTGCATTGTTATTTACAGCGCAATAAAACTGAATTCCAAATTTCTGCTTTCTAAGGAGTAAATATTAGACAAGATTTGTTTATCTAGTTGTTTCTGAAAGGGTGTAAACAGTTTTAAACTCAATAAATGTTACATAAATAACATCACATCACAAACAATTAGTTAACACGCATCGTGCTTAAATATAAAAATCGTGTCTTTAATATAAAAAATTAAACCCCAAAGGGCTATCGAAGTATTGTGTATGTTTGTTACACCAATGAGACTGAACAAAAATTAGACAAGCTTAAAGAAAATGCATTATCGCATTTTACTATCTGCCGCAGCTTTGATGCCCGTTTGTTTAAAATTTCAAAAAATTTAGAGGAGTTTTACGGTTGGTGTTGATTTAACAACAAAATATCGGAGGTCGCATTAAAAATACTTGACTGTTATCTTTTTCGTTTCATCGCTCCAAATAGAGACCACTCTACACAATAGAGAATGCTCGGTTTCTTATATCTTAACTTCGTTTATATTATTTGAGTTTTTAGGACCTTAAAGTTTTTTTATGAAATCATCTAAATACTTTTCTATCTGAATAATATACAAGTTAAGCGATAGGAAAGTAGCAATATGAATGTCTATAACCAGTAACATTATAGACATTCATATGTACTATTATTTCCTCGAAATGCAAATAGCTTTATTCCCACGTCTTACGAAAGCAAAGTGGAATTGCATTGTATATTTTGATCATGAGTTCCGTATTTTCACTATGCACGTAGACTAAAGAATAACATTAAACGGCACTGTCCTTTGACTTCGTAGCAATATTTTAATAGAAGTATGAAAATTTCTCTATGGTATAATAAGATATAAGAAACAAATCTTAACCCATTAAAAACATTACTAGTGTCTATAATCTAATTAATGATGGTTCAATGTGGTTGTGATAAATTCCTAAAGTTTTCTTTTGTGGTTTTTCTTTAACAAAAAAAAACACTCCGAAACAATTACTTGTTGAATAGTTTGTGATATTTGAAAACATTAATATTTTTCACATGTTATTGCACATGAAGGCACTATATAGTTTAAAAATCGAAAATAAATTGAAAAAAATTTTCGACTCGGGCAGGACTTGAACCGGCATCGTCAGCTTTCCGTGCGGTTGCTCTACCAATTGAGCTACCGAGTCCTACACCTCATCGTCGAATTTTTTCAACTTATTGATACATGCACCGCTCGCGGAATGTAATTTCAACCTTAACACTTGCGTTTTAGGGTTCAATGTCTTATACTTTGCAGCTTAAGAAATCATTGAAGATGAAATTACAAAGTTTTGATGTTTGAAAACATTAATATTTTTCACATGTTATTGCACATGAAGGCACTATATAATTTACATTAAAAAAAAACCGGACTGAGTTTCATGGCTGGTCTTCTTAGTCATGTTGCTCTTTGGAACATTCTGTAGAATCACGACAGATAGACCGAATGAATGTATTTTTCGACACAACTACACAAAATAGAGCCATTTGTAGATTGTTTTTATAACCGCACCAGTCATACATAGGTCGGTAAAAGTATCCCTTCCAGGTTCCCGTCTTCGGATAAAAGGGATTATCTAGATGCAATATGTCTATGTCTATCCCTTTTCAAATTACTTTATTCATTTAATGGCATCACCGGCAGCAGATGTGAATTTATTTGATATTTTTATTCTAGCAACGTCTTCGTACGGGTTGCGATGACGCGGCACGTAAAAGAGGCAATAACTCATTTCAAATTGTATAAGTATCTGTACTTTTTCCTATAAGTGCTAGATGAACTATATCCTATAGACGAGAGTGTATGTGTCAAAGGACCGTCTATTCTAAACAGATAACAATACGGGCACGTTGTGAGTAATTATTTGTTTATTAAAATATCTATATGTAATTGATCGTCCCTCGTGTTTAACGCACGGCACACATTTAAATAAAATACTTTAACGGTTTAAAACGCGATATGTATCAGATAAACTTATTTGAAAATTATTTCAACTATGGTCTGACATTTCGGATGCTTTGCAGCAGCCGGGGACACTCCTCGTGACGACGGATAATGATATATATCGCGTTTTAAACGGTTTAAGTGATTTATTTAAAACCTACATGATAAAAAAACAAAGACGTTTTAAAAAAAAATCAAACGTAAATATTTTTCGCAATTTTCAGGATCTGAACGATTTCAGTGACGAGTAGACGGAGAGAAAATACGAAAAATTACACGAATTTTAAACTGAACTGCGCTGCATTGGCAAAAAGAGAATTAATGTACTGAGGCGAGCGTATTTCAGTAATCCAGATTTATGTATCATTCGCTGATTATTTCGTTGTTTGGTATCTGTTGAGATCCCTCGAGATGTGACCTCGCGAGTTTTCGCACACTATATATGGACCTATATTTATATTTGGAGTCAATAGAACCAAAAAGTTAGTACACTGATATCTCATTTATTCTAAATTTGTGATGTTCTAAAAATTTTGTATATGCTACAATTTCCTCATTCTTTGCCTTGCCTTGCATTTTAACATTCCCACTGTTGGGACCCTGGTCTCCTAGGAGGGTATATAGGCGTTAATCTAATATACTGCGTTGACAACTGACGCGTGTAATGGAATTGTTTGTTGACATGCCGACTTTCCCACGAGGTCGTCCCACACCGGATTGTACCTGTTAAAATATAAACAAACTATCTCTGTCAGCGACATCATCCGCGTAGAATAATTATTTTGACCATCCCAATTTGTTTTTGCACTCCCCTTCCCCCTTTTTAATTTTACCTTTTTTCCCCCCCCCCCCGGGCGTTCCCCCCCCCCTCCCCCCTTTTTTTTTAAAAAAATTTTTTTTGGGCCCCCCCCCCCCCCCCCCCCCCCCCCCCCCCCATTTTTTATCCCCCCCCCCTTCCTTTTTTTTTTTTTAAAATTTTAAATTTTTGATTGATTGTTGATGAGAGATGCCAGAATATGACAAAACCCGCAGTATTTGCACAAAAGTTGAATTAATTTTTGTTTTTACGAATTCTTTTCGATGTAAATGTTTCGAAAAATCCAACCGTTGTGTAAATTTCCATAAAGAGGCAACGATAACGCAAAATGTTCATGACTCAAAGAAAACAAGTGCAAAAATAACTGGCGTTTGGGACATTACGACAGGAGAAATTACTTAAGGATGTTTCCTTAAGTCCATCTCAAAAAATAAAAGAAACAATAACTTTTCTCGTAATTCTGCGAGGGAAGGCAATTCGTGAATACTTAATTTAAATAAGTCTATTTATGTGAAAAATACTTAAATTATTATATATATAAACATAAATATAAACCTCTCTATCAGTGGTTCAATGAAATGTTCTCACGAGGTTTGGATCTTGGAAACTTGTCTGAAATAAAAGCGAAGAGTTAAACAGATAGATATATACGCACAATTTGATTAATCACGATGGTCAAATTGTATTTCCTTTTCAATTTTTTCAAATGGACAAAGAAAAATAAGGACATTACGTAAAAAATTAAAACTGAAAATCTATTTCTCTTAAAATGGTTACAGAATACTGTCTATAGTTTACGCGAGTAGTACACATTTAAATAAAACACTTTAACGGCTTAAAACGCGATATATTAGTTAAACTCATTTGAAAATGATTTTTAACTTCGTGGTTCAGCCGCGGTCACGTGTCTTCCCGTGACCACGGCTGCTGCAAAGCGTCCGAAACGTCGGGCCGAAGTTAAAAATCATTTTCAAATAAGTTTAACTAAAATATCGCGTTTTAAACCGTTAAAGTGTTTTATTTAAATGGTTACAGAAGTCATTCTTCGATTGAATAATATTTTTAACGAACAAAACTTGGGAACGTCTACTTCTTCATGGTAATTAAATCTTTATAATTTAATACACAATGGTAAACGTTCAAAACAAATGCGATATTTTGAATAAAGAACTCTTAACCGTAGTTATGTAAAGGTATTGGAGCCTAACTTCACTTTTTACGAAAAGATCTGCCTACCCTCTCGTCAATGAAGTCGGCCGTGTACTGAGGTTAAGATTTGCAAGTCGAAAGAGCTTTGAATATTTTGTGATTTCGGATTTGACTTTAAAATGGGTTGCAACCGCCTATCAAGCTCGGCTTTGAACTCGACTCCTCGTTATTTTCCTTACGAAATCTCACTTTTGGCTATGTTAATGAAAATCTAAGTCGGTCGGCTCTAATAAAGGAGATATTAGAGGCGAGTCAGACTTATTAGAATTGTGATTGATGAATTACTTCTTTTAAACTAAGGCCTATTGAAACATGACTTAAAAATCATAAAACATTATTTTGTGCCTCTTTATTCAAATAATATTACAATAAACAACCTTAACCCAGCAACAACCAGAACATTTGCAAAGCAAAGCAGGTCGGGCAAAACGTGCCCGGAATACTTTGCGGATTAAGAATTTGACTTTAAAATTAAGGAGATAAGCTTCATGCTGCGTATTCCTTAAATACAGAATTGATTTTCAATAAGATCTCTTAGGGCTGTTTGGGAACATTGTTTTTATTAAATTTCCTCTTTTCTTTGCATACCTGGGGATTTGTTAAAATTCACTTATTGCTTCTTACAAAGTTTCTGAACGTATTTTCGGAATCAATTGGTTAAAAGTGGCTTGCTCGGTATCTAAGGATCTAAATAATCTATAACGTGGCGTACAAAGTGAGAATCACGGTTTTTTTTTTCAGGATAAGGAGGGGTTCTTTTGATTTTAGGTGAAATACCCCAGCCATATAACATCTAGACAAGATGTGATGCTGACCTATATTGGATTTGGATATTCGGTGCTTAAAATCGTTCGTTATGCTTTATCACTCTGGACAAAATGTAAATTAAAAAAAATAAATATTGAAACAACTTTGAAATAAAACACTTTAACGGTTTAAAACGCGATATATTAGTTAAACTTATTTGAAAATGATTCTCCCCGTGACCACGGCTGCTGCACAGCATCCGAAACGTCGGGCCGAAGTTAAAAATCATTTTCAAATAAGTTTAACTAATATATCGCGTTTTAAACCGTTAAAGTGTTTTATTTAAATGTGTACTACTCGCGTAAACTATAGGCAGTATCTAATTGAAACAACTTTACGTCACAAACAGGACTTCAACCGGCGTCCATAGAGGTCCGTGCCGTTGCTCTAACCGATTGAGATACCTCGTCGAACGTGACGTCCTGTTAAGTAACTAATATAATCCATGTAACTACTTCATCACTTCACTCAAATTTGCATTGAACCGAACCGTATTTTCGAAAACAATAAGAGTACAGATGTTATAATATGTTGAACACGCTAATCTCAGAAACTGGCGAACCGAATTGAATTTCCGACCGAAATTATTTGACTGCTAGGTAGCTTATCTGAGCTCAGTAGAGAAGCAATGAAGTATATTAAAAAAGGGAGCATTATTCCATTTGAAAGCTTCCGTTGCGTGGCCCGTGTTGGGGTTTTATATATTTATATACATACACGACAAGTATAACGAGATCGCGATATTAACTTTATTTACAGAAGAATTCTGTCAAGACAGAAAGAAAATTAAAGATTAAAATATTTATATTAAAGCCACGTAAATTTATGTACAAAGAAATTCTCAAAAGTGATGTTCAGTTCACCCAAGCTGTTACGTGCAGAAGTTGATTCTCTTGAAGCTTATTAATAAGTCACATAGCTCTGAAGTAGGTAGACAATATCGAAAATTATAGAATTTCAACAAAACAAGTGAATACTTTAAAAGTGTTTTGTTTAAATTGGTAGAAACACGTTGGTAGATTAAATCAAACCCATGGCCCTTAAAATATTACTAATACATTATATGAACGAGGCCGTTTGAATAGCTATCACAGAAAACCTGAAACCAATTTACTATCAAACGCATACGAGCACCGAAAAGGTCAAGGTGTTACAGAAGACGATGCTTCGTCGCTTCGTAAAGGCAGTGATTAAAAGGGATCATTTAGGCCGAACGTTTGTAGAGAACACCGATTTGTCACTAACTTCCCATCATTACTTACTAAGTTAGTTTCTTAGCATTGTATGTTCTTGTGATATATGTCTATGGAGTTTTGAGCTCTCTCTCTCTTGTGATCTGTATTCACTATAAAACTGCCTCTGATGTTAATGATTAAACTTCTTACTTACATTAGACGTCCCGTGTTTGAATACCGAGAGATAATATTATTTATAGCAGTACAGGCAACAGAGGTAAGCTCTACTCACTGCCCGTCAAGAAAAGCAAGCTGTTTAAATAAAAAACTTAAAATTTTGGTTTAAAACGCGATATATTTACAATTAAACTCATTTAATTTATTTTAACTACGGGGAGAATGTGGGGCCGTAGTTAAAATAAGTTTATCTAATATTTATTGCGTTTTAAACCGTTAAAGTGATTTATTTAAATGTGTACTACCCGCGTAAACTACAGACAGTATTTAAGTATTTGACACTGTACCGTTAGTTGAAGAGATTTAACTATATTTATTTACTTATGTGTTAATTTATGTAAAAATTATAATTTAATTGCTTAGAAAAATAAATATTCACAATAAATTATAAATATTTTTGTTCTATTTTCACATGAAGAAACTACACACAGTGCTTGCATACAATTTATAAACTTTTCCCTAACAAGTGAGAAATAATAAAAAATGAAACAGTTTCCACCTTTTCAAGCCCAGCTAAATGTAAAACATGGTATGTAAATCCAGGTTAGAGGCATCATAAGTCGTTGTAAAGGCTTTGCATTCGGGTTCAGAATAATTGAGCTATAAACACTTCAATAGCGCGCAGATTGTGAAAAACCGCTTATGTAAAATTTGCCCACGGTTCTGCTAAATGTTCACTTAATGTCATAAGTGAACAACTTGAGAAGAACCACTGCGGAATTAAAGGGAAGTTTAAGTAGCCGTCATTTTTATTCATAACAAGTATTACATAAAAAAAAAATAGCATAATGATAGCATTGTATGGCTAATAATCAACGGGTCGTGGGTTCCTTCCCCACCGGGTCCTAATTGTTGTTGTTTAAAAATGTTTCTAATTTTCCAATTCAATTTTTTTCTGAAACGTGTTTGACTTCATCTGGGAATCTATATAAATTCCGTCTGGGTCTACCGACCACAGATAAAAAAGCCTCGAGGCATAATTATAATGAACCGTAGTCCTCATATAACTTAAAGTAAATAAATGAAAACATCATAGATTATGTTTTTAATATATTTGAATAACGTCGAAATAACGAAAATAAAACACTTGTAACGGTCGCCAACGCTAAATTTCAAGTTAAACTGATTTACAAATTATTTTAAACTAGGTTTCACGGCTTCTGGAAAGCGTGCAAAACGTTGGGCGGTAGTTAAAACTAATTTGTAAATAAGTTTAACTAATATTTTTAGCGTTTTAAACGGTTAAATGTGATTTATTTAAATGTGTACTACTAATGAACTACAGTCAGTGTTTTCAAAAAATCTCTGTCACTGTCGAAACACAGTGTATATTATGTTTTAGACTGAAAGTGAAAAGGGTTTTTATATTCTTATTGGATGTTAATACGAACAGATAATCTGTTTATCGAACAGTGGTCAATTAAAAGATCGAAACGAACGAGATCTAAGGGTCTAAATTGATACGATAAATCCACTGCTAAATCTATTAAATGCCGTTAAATGGTTAAGATCCGAGTTCAGAAGTTAATGTTCGGAGGGGCCATTCAATACATCCGGATAAGTGGACCGTTACTCGGACTATAACTGGACGGAACCGGAAAAAAGCGGATTAAAAAGGTTACGTTAATGGCGGCACCGTGAAAAGTGAAGCAATTACGCGGAATTGATTCCTTCCTTTGTTCTTTTGTTTTTGATGTCTTTGGCTTTGTGTTATGTTGTTAAAACACATACTGATATGTCGAAATACAAATTTCGCACTAAATGTTTTGGGGTCTATGTAAAATGATTCACGGGCTGTGAGTTCGATAACCAACCAATCCAACTAAACCAATAAATTGTTGAAACATGTTGGACTTCGTCTAAAAGTCTGGGCATTAAATAATGATAATAATATAAAAATAATTTATTCAGATACAGACCCACATCATAAAAACGTTAAAAATATTAGATGGGTCTATACCTCTATAGTAAAAAGTCTAAAAACCAGTTTGTCTATGCCTTTGAAATAGTAACAAATTGATTTAATGAAGATCTATACTAATATATAAAGCTGAAGAGTTTGTCTCTTTGTTTGAATGAGTTAATCTCAGGAGAAGGAGATTAACGCAATCATTGCGCTGTAACTAATAGAAACGTTTAAAGCTGTGCCTCCCCCTAACAAGCAAAGTATCTTCTCATCGGTCCTGTGCTTTGCTTAGGATTCGATAGATTCCGTTCCACATTCCTTCTCTTGTTTGGCTTCCACAAAACCTTTTCCAGCTTTCAACTCTTGTAGTTTCCACTGTCAGTTCATAGCTGTTCTTCGCTTCAGTGTATTCCTTTATTACGTATTCTCTTCTAGCAAGTCTAGCACATCGGATTGCTCTCTTTTTCTTCTCCAGTTCCTTCTTCAACTGTTCAATTTCCGCATTCCACCACGGTATGCTTGACTTTTTTATATGTTTTAGTTTAGGGATGGCACTGTCACATGCTTCTTGGACCAACTGGATGTATCGGGCCACAGTGGCTTCTAGAGAGCTGGTGTCCTCGATTTGATTCATCGCGGCCTCGGTGATCTTATGGGCCTTCAGTGATTGCCTGATTTTTTCATTAAAACGCTGCCAGTTTGCCTGAGTAGTGCGGTAAATCATAGTTGTGCCCCTGGTTGTGATATTTTCTAATTTTGTTAATCTTTTAGGTTTTTGGTTTTCTCGAAGTTTTGGATGTCGAAGATCTCGTCTCACTGCGAGCATCCGGTATGTGTGGTAGTTGGTAGTAGCGAGATTCGGACGTAAATTTTACCTTTAGGGTAGGGTAGGCATAGGGAAAATTTCACACGCTTCACAATAATAACTTGTCTTCACAGTATAATTTGCTACTTTAAAGTAAAAAAAAAAAAAACGAATAGAAGCAGCGGGAAATATGAAAAAAACGGGGGAAAATTTTCATCTCTTTGGGTTTCAGATGCGTACGCTGCAAAACGGTTCAAGACACCTAAAAATATGTATGATAGATCTATTAAAACCTCTATAAAAAGTAAAAAACATACCATACCAAAGTACTTAGAATAAATCTTTAATATTCCACTATCGTTATGTCAATACAAAGTTTGCAGAAGCGAGAAATACGTCAGAGAAATATTACATTACATATGCTTCTGAAGTGAAAAGCATCGAAGCCTTAAATTAGTTCGCAAACAATCCTTAGGGAGATATACAGGGTGCTTTCTTCATTCCTACCACGTACATGTGGGGAAGCAGGCGTGAATTTTACTTATCTTATCTTAGGAACAAGACTGAGAATATTTCAAACCTCTATTGCTGTGTGGCAGAATTTTCGATTATTCCCTTGCATTGCGGAAACGATTCGAAATAAAACGCGAAATTTTATTGAGGAAGCAACGCTTGGCGGCCTCTTTCGTTGCCGTTTATATTGAATTTTATACATAAAATATTTAAAATGAAAAAAAATACTACAATTTCTTTGTCATTTTCAGTCACTTAACAAGCCTTAATTGCCATTTTTTTTAATTTTGTTAGTAGTTTACGCGACTAGTACATTTAAATAAAACATGACGTTTCCGAAGCTTCGCAGCTCAGCCGTCGGACCGTAGTTAAATTAATTGGGAATAGGTTAATTAATACAATTAACGTTTTAAACCGATAAAAGTGTTTTTTTTTATTCTTTATAGATATAGATATTGTCTTCGATATGTAGTCTTTTTATAGTTGGAGTTTCTTAAGATAAACACTATTACTTTTTTTTATATATTCATAGTACATCTTATGAGATGTTTCTTAGTGTTGAGAAGCAAACCTGAAGTTTAAGATAATGTGTCCCTTTAGTGTCTCAAGGACCAGATGGCTAGCGTACCAAAGATAGGTCAGTCATAGCAAGGCATCGCAAAAGCAGAAAGCTCTAAGCTCTAGACTCGAAGCTCAGAGAGAAAGGCGATTTAGTCAACAAGAAATTAATAAAAATAGGATTTAAACGCTCTAATCATTAATTAACAGTACTTCTGTCAAATTATTTAATGTAACGAGGGTAATACATATACTGTAAAATTCATTTGTAACATTTTACGACACGTTTCGAGGTTTCATAAATTCAAATTAAAAGCTAAACGTCGGGCCGTGCTTAAAATATTTTTTAAATAAGTTTAACTTACATATCGCGCTTTTAACCGTTAACGTGTTTTATTAAAATGTCTACTACTCGCGTAGACTACAGACAATATTACATTATATACAAATATTTCAAGTACAAAAGTGTGTTAGTATACAAAACACGACGTGTATAAATAAATTTGTTTTTTTGTACATAATAAATTTAATTAAAATCCAGAGAAGGCATTAACACAAGTCTGCTGATTTTGCTCTCAGAAAAAAAAACAAAGTACGAGGCTATTAACAGTTTAATAAAAAGTTTACATGTAAAACTTTTTATATTTGCCCGTCTAGACAGGTATATTGAACGCGACTAAATTACTCTACGGGAACGAAATTTACATCTGGATTGAGGCTTCTAGACGGAAATAATTTAAATTAAGAGTATTTAAATTAATATTTCGTATTAAGAAATCAAATAAAACATAGATAATGGCGAATTGGATTAGCGGAAAAAAAAATCGGCGCAAATCAGTTTTCTTAAGTTCTTTGAGCCTTACTTAAATAAACTTAGAAAGTTTCTAACAGTTTATCACGGTTCATTAGATGCAGGACGGACGAGAAGCAGGGTCTTAGTCATGGAGCCCTATCTTGACCTTTATATTGTTAAACGTATGTAGTAATGTAAATGTATGTAAATGTAAAGTATTGGAAAAAACAAAAAGAAACTGTAGGCATTCCATAGTTTTGTTTTAATTTATCACAAAAAATATTGTGTTGCTGTCGAATACTTTTTGTCGTGTAAAAAGCCCCTTAATGGTTTTTTTTATTAAAAATTCACACTGTATAAAGCTTAAAAGTCTACAACAATAAAAGCTTGCGGTCCCGTCTGTGAGATAGTAACTAAAAAATTTCAGAGTCTTAAAAGTAAGTTAAAGTTTCAACAAGTCGCAAACTCACGTTTCAGCAATAATTTTTTCATTCTAAGTAACTTTTTATTTTCACTCGTTCAAACAACATTAACGCAGAATATTTGAATAAAAAATTACTTTTAATTACGCTGCGCGAGAGGTGCATGTATAAGATTGAAAAAAATCAACTATGACGTGTAGGACACGGTAGCTCAATTGTTTAGAGCAACAGCACGAAACGCTGTGGATGCCGGTTCAAGTCCTGTGTCGAAATCTTTTTCAATTTATAATAGATTTTTATTTAAAAAATACGTTTTTAAACTACAGTTAAAAAATAGTAGCTAATAAAATACTTCAAGTAGTATACATCTGTCTATTCGTCGTTTTATCTTTTCTGTGTAATTTAAACTACTAACAAGGTACAATCAATACAGAAGGGTAAAGTTTACTTAAGAGTTGCTTGCTAAGCACCCTAAGAGTTGAAGAACTGAATTCTAAGTAGAGTAGAAACAATCAATCGTATGCTTAGAAACTTATGACAGGGAAAGGATTACAGTACAAATACAAATATAGTTTTGTGATAGACGAAAATTTAATAAGCTACTTTAACGGCTTAAAACGAGATATATTTTAGTAAAACTTATTTAAAAATTATTTTCGCTGCGACCTGACGTTTCGGATGCTTTCCAGCCTTGGTCACGGGGAGACTGGAAAGAAGTTTAACTAACAATTAACGCGTTTTAAACCGTTAAAGTGTTTCAATTAAATATGTACTACTCGTGTAAACTACAGACGGTATTTCATAAACGACAATGTAATTAATAATTTTGACATTAAGATGTTTACAAAAGATTTCGCTATCTCTACAGTGATAATCTATGAGCCATCAGGTCCGTTTTTTTATTGTAGTATTTAATTTTTATTTGTTCTAACTTTTGGAAAATCAAGACAGCAAAGAAGTGGTAAGAAGATAATATAAATATAATATAGATAATAAGAAATATCGTTCGGGTCACGAACCACCGCCCACAGATAAAAGAACAGTGTCCATAACCTTCTAAATGTCTCAAACCAAAAATAAGTCGAGAGCGTATCTTGATTATCAAGCAAGCCCAATACTTGTCTCTTCCTTTGTCATAGAAAAAACCCTTCTCGCTTTGAATAAAATATACACACCTCGTGAACCAGATGCGGTAAAAAAAGATCAGGCAGGTTCAATCTAAAGTATAATCTCGTTCGGCAGTTTATTTGAACGAATATGACGCTCAAAACAAAAGTCATATCAACGCGGCGTATTGCCAACCGGAAGAAAGTCGCCGGAAACAGTGATCGTTATTTTCAATTCACCCGGAACTTTTTCAATAAAAACAGACAGGTGAGATTTAACTTTTTAAAAACGCTATAAAACAGCGTCCCCTTAGAACTCGTTTAAACGAAAGTTAATTCGGGTTCGCGCGAAACATGTCAAGTATGGTGGAACTACGAATTTTATAAGCTGTGCGGATTGCAGGTCCCAAAAAGTTTTAATAGTAACTGGAAGAATTTAGGATTCCACGGGGACATTTTCAGAAATGCAGTTGCGCTTTCGCTGTTCGGGCTTTGTCCTTTTTTGTAATTTGCTGGAAATAATGGATACCTAGCATGAATGTTGTTTAAATAAACTTTTAGCGCCGGCAACTTCGGTAGCTTGAACCAAGCTTGGGTTACACTTAATTCAAGAAGAATAAATTATCTACTTTGAAAATTAATTATCATTATAAATTAAATATTTGTACATAATTGTGATAATATTTGTCTTTGCACACAAACTAGTACGCGAGTAGTACACTTTTAAAAAAAAAACTTTTTGTTTTTAAAACGTATAAATTAAATTGTGATTTGAATTAATATACTGCTTTAAAACCACAAAAGATAAGTTGATATGTGTTTTGTTTATATTTGCACACTTAATAAATTGTGATCGAATAATGTCAACCAACAAACAATAAGGGGTGTCTTGGTTATATTATATTTTGGAACCGTTTAGTAAATTCTTACTTTAAATTGTATTGATTGAGAATTTTAACCGTATAATATAAAAAGATATATGATGTCAGCGTTAAACAACATTCTTCTTTTATAAAATATAACGGATCTAAACGCGATTCTTAATAATTAGTTTTTTTGGCCCGACTTTCGGCAGCAGCCGTGTCGGAAGACGTCGGCCGAGTTAATTATCATTAATTAGTTTAACTAATATATCGCGTTTTAAGCCGTAAAAATTTTTCTTTTTTTGTGTAAAGAAGTTAATTTTCTTACTAATTATTATTTATTTCGTGATAGTTAGGAACTAAGTAAAATATATAGAGCATCTGGTACTTCCAAAAAAGCACAGAGTTATTCTTGGCATTTATTTATGAAATAATATCTTTTTGCAACGTTGCGAAATATGATAGACAAATCTGATAGCTGTAAAGTCATTTATTTCGTAGTCCATCAACGTTGTTTTCAAGGCATTGTGTACAAAAACTCGGCCGAACATTTATAATGGCCTACTGGGCCTTCGGACTAGGGTTGCTTATATCTCTACTTATGGTCATCAAAATCTTAATATAGTGATAATCAACGTATGTAAGATTGATCTGGCATGCTCTACATACACAAAGAAATGTTATTAATTAAAAATGACTACAGCTGACCAGTCACTTATAAAGTCTGATAAGATTATAGGACAAAATATTTGAATTCACCAATCTT